GTGACTCGGCATGTTTGCCTTTTACAAGTGATTTTTAATTATTTTTTAAAAACAAATATCAAGCAAATATTTTTAGATTATTTCATATGATATATTTATCTTTTAAAAAATTAAATGGATTGTTTTGATATTTTTTTTTGTGTTTAGTACTGTGTTTACTATGATTATGATTTGAAAAGGTATTTTTTGAAAAAAATATAAATCGTAGTTATTTTTATTCAAGATGAAAAAAAAAAGAGATTTATGTAAAATTATGTGAGTATTAAATAATTAAATATTTTAAAATTTATAATTAAAACAAAATACGAACAGCACGGCATAAACAAACAAAACGTTAATAAACATTTTGTTCATGCTCGTCAAAGTCGGTTTGAATATGTTTCGGATTCATGCTATTAATTTGTTGGAATCGAATTGGATTTGCTTTGAACATTAATCCAGTCAAAATTAGGTAATTCATAACCCAAATGTTCCATGCCAAACTCTACGCAAACAAAACTAGAACGAAAGGAATTATTGGTTTTAATTTAACTGTGTTTGAACTGGACATATTATATCACCTAATTTCAATCAAGTCAGCGCTGAGAATAATTCAAGATAAAATTCAGTCTAGACCATGCTTCGAACAGCTAGATCACTGGATTGTTTCAGAATTTGTGCTAAATAAAATTCAGTCTAGATCATACTTCGAAGAGCTAGATCACCGGGCTGTTTCAAGATCTTTGCTTGCTCGAGACTCGGACCTCGCTGCGTGTGTTTTTGTATTGTTTTACCACTCGCCATCCCATTCTTGGAAAATCACTGTTCCACCTAACCAAAAGGTGCCCGAGATGTATCTATAGACCATAGTTTTTTCTATATCTCTGATTTAATTCCTTTGAGATACGTTTGTAGAGTAGAATAAAGTTCGAAATTGATATAATTTTATTACCACAAAGAAAAAGTACGCTTGCCAGCGTCTCCATAAATGCATTCCTTTGAAAAATGGATTTAGAAATTTAGAATGTCACCAATTCTGTCAAATTTTCTTGAGTATCAGAACTAAAAACCCATTGTTTTGCAGTCCAGCCTGACAGGTCGGGTTGCCGGGACCAGTCGGATTAATTTGGTGGAGAAGCTCGATTTTTAAGGGAAAAAAATCTTAAGATAACGAAAAATCCCGGATTTAAAAAAAAAAAACTTTCTAGGGGTTTTTTTTTCAAAAAAGGTTGGGTTTGATCCAACTAGCTCACCGGAGATGAGTCTTGGCCAGGTCGACCTCGGAAAGACCGGCTCGAGACAAGCCATGCGTGGTTCACGATTTTCTTTTATTCAACGTTGCTCGTGTTTTTTCTTTGAAAATCCTGTGATGCACTGGCGTGCTTATCTCAATCTATGGGGCGGTGATGCCTGCAGGTAAAGGCATCCTTCTTTAATAATGAGGGTGGGTTGCAAAGAGGAAAAATAATAAGACGATGATGAGATAAGATAGGAGTGTGGGTCTTCGTTTCCCCTCGGACAACTATCCATAAATGATTCCATGGACGAAACCAGACTAATTTCAAAGTATTGAATCTTCTCTCGAGTTGAAAAATCACTATAAATAAATCCCAGAAATGCAATTTGTCAAATATATATATGTAAATTTCAACGAAACAAGCATAACCTCAAACCAGGGGAAAAAGGAAACGAAATAGAGGTCGATTAACTATCATCACTGCTAAACTCCTTTTATTTTGATGAACCGATATAAAACTTTACTCGGGTTAGCTTCTTGATTAAATAAAATAATATATTAATCTAACCAAGTTAGTTTAGGCTGAACGAGTTTTTAGTCGTTCAGATAATTAAATCGAACTTTAATTAAAATTTACCGGTTCAACGCAAATAGATAAAAATATTATCATCTTAGTAAAAAAAATTATTGACTGAAATTAAACCGATGATCCAAATCCTTTCAAGGTGGTCTCTGGATTAGAGATAAACATCTAGTCAACAACCTGGCAACCGGGCTAGACTGAAAATATAGAGGGGAGTCAGGGTTGATGGTCCAGTAACGACATGGGCCAGAGCCTAGTACTTTTGAACTTTCGGCTTGGACCAGGATTCCACCTTCAGGGGTGATAGGCTAGCTGTTCATTGACAGTGCAGGCTGTGGCCCAAACTAGATTGGTTTTAGCCTGGCCTTCCCAGTGTATTAGGCTCTTGCATAGGTGTGCAGATTTCGACACAGAGAGCGGCCGTGCCTATGTCAAAGGACTGACGATGAACAGTGGCAATACCATTAAGTATTTTTTTTATTGTGTTTTGAAAGTATTTTTGAAAAAAAATATTATTTTTATTTATTTTAAATTATTATTTTTTAATATTTTTATTTCATTTAGATATATTAATATTAAAAATAAAAATATATATATTATTTTAATATATTTTAAAATAAAAAATACTTTAAAATTCAATTGTTACCACATTTCTAAATATATATTAAATTTGAATAATGATTGGGAATGTAGTTAAAATTATATATTTTTATTTAAAATCAAATTTTTATATCTTTTATTATTTTAATATATTAATATAAAAAATATATTATTTTAATATATTTTCCACAATTACCGTACTTTAAATACCTTCCAAGTTGCCGGGGCTCTATTGGTTAATTAACGTGGCAATACCTTTTGTAACAAGCATTGCCTTTATAATTTTTTTAACGTGGCATGACTTGTGATCGAAGCATGAAAGCTGATTATGGATTCTCCTATGCAATGATTATGGTAGTGGCGCAATAATTTTGATTTTTAAACCAAAATTTTCGATTCACGTCCTTTTTTATATATAAATCTGGGACAAATTATCAATTGAAAATGGACTTATTTGTGTAAAATTCATTAACATTTATCTGTATTACGTGGAATCATGCTGTGAATAGATCTTATTACTGTTTTTTTTTCACCTTTTAAATTGTTCCAAATAAATTATAAAATCCATGAATTGGGGCAGGGCTGGCGGACTGTGAGGATAAACTTGAGTTGATAATTTTTTAAAAAAATATATACATTATTTTAATAAAAAATATTTTTTAAAGATGAATCAATGAATTAAGTACATGGTTTTGTTTTTCTGGATCATACCAAACTTCTAATAATAAAATGAAAATAGTAAATGCTAAGAAAAAAAAAATACTTACACAATATCTAACCTCGGCATAAAAAACGACATCAGAATTTAAAAACTATGGACTTGAGGAACATGGATTGAGAAAAGTGAGAGGAAGAAGAAGAAAAATGACGGATAACTTACCATTTATTTAGTTGTTTTACCAACCAGGAAAGAAAAAAAAAAAATATTCTTAATTAAATTGATTAAAAACACTATTATCAAATAAAAGAAAAGAAAAAAAAGCTTGTTCGTGAACTCAACCATGCAACCACCGTACAACGAGCAAAGAATGGCTCCTCGCCTCCTCCTGTACAGAAAGCCAGAGTCAAAGACCCGAAACGAGTGAACGCGTGCTGGTAGTTGCCGATGGTTGGGCCATTTATTAGGAGGCTCTCTGTTATTGGGTTGTATGGGTCCACCACTAATGCGTGTTGTCAGAAGCCTTGTCATGCGGACCACCCCGGTTCCTCAAAGCAAGGGCATCTTCCATGAAAGACGCTACTTCGAACTTACTACGGCGCAATATAGTTTTTATGTTTATTTCAATTATAAAAAATGCATTGTACGTAATTATTTAAAAAATTTAATATAAGCAGGATGAAGTCTCAATTTTTTTTTAAATTATCAATTAATTTAATATTAAAAAAATATAATTAATAATTCGAGTGAACTTCAATAAACACACAATATAAGTTACGAGGTAAACATATTTTCATAAAAAATAAATAAAAAAATAATTTTTTTTTAAAGTAATGTAAAAAATACAATTGCAATGAATAATATTTTAACATTATTACAAGATATATAAGAATAATATTTTTATAAAAAAAATAATAAAATAATATTTTATTTAACATTCTCTTCTTAGTATGGAAAAAAATATTTTATTTATTTATTTTTAGCTTTTTAGTCAACGTTTCTGGATATGCGATAACAAGATTTGTTATTGTTGTGTGATTATTTATTTTTTAAAAAAATTTTTATGTAGAATTATTTTTTTATGTTTTATTTTATTTTATTATGTTAATAAAAAATAAAAATTTTAAAATAATAATAAAATATTATTTTGTTGTATTTCAAAATTAAAAATACTTTAAAAAATAGTTATTATTATAATACCAAATATTACCCAAATAGTATTTGGTATTATGATAAGCTATATTTTTTAATTTTTTTAATTTTTAATTATTATTTTTATATTATTTTGATACGTTAATATCAAAAATAAATTTTTAAAAATAAAAAATTATTTTAATATATTTTTAAATAAAAAATATTTTTAAAAATTACTCTCATAACTCTTCCAAGCAATTAACTTATAAAGAAATTATTAAGTAATCAAAATATTATTTAAGTCTTAAATTCAAATCGAGAATAAACAAAAAACAATTATTTAACTGGGATTATTAATTTTTTTGAAGGCTAGCTTGATTTTCAAACAAACAAGTGATCTAGTTTTGTTCGTATCCGCTGCTTTTCTACTTTAAAAAAATAAACATTGTGCGTGAACTTTCCACGGATGGGCCCCATCTATAAATCAACTTCCACGAGATGAGATTAATACACCTCTAAATTCTCCCACCTACTCCCGTCATATGAACGAGATCCAAGCCTGCCTTTAACGAAGTTTCTAAGCTTTCTTCGTTGAATTTAAGGTCAGTCGAATAAATTGGGTCGACTTTAACAACCCGCCCTATAGCTGATTTTTCATTAAATTTATTTTTAATGTTTTTTAATTACTTTAATATACTAGTTTCAGAAATAAAATTTGCGAAATAAAATAAAATACCATTTTAATATATTTATATGAAAAAAACACTTAAAAAAAGGCTACAGTCCCGAACAGCTCTGTAGGCCCATACAAACCCCCACCCAGTAAAACAAAATCCGTCGGCGTGGTTCTAATGGAATTGTCCTTTCGGTTGGCTATCTTCTCTGAACATAAATAGGGTATCCTCCAGGTAGAATTGGCGGTGGTGTCCTCTCCTCTCTTTAAGTGGTAGATTCCCAAACCACATCTCATATTCTCCAGTGCCTGTTTCACCAGAAGAAGGAAAAAAATGGGAGGCGGCAACGGGCAGAAGGCAAAGATGGCTCGCGAGAAGAACTTGGAGAAGCAAAAAGCTGCTTCCAAGGGTAATTGATTGACTATTTATAAAACCCTAGCAAGCCTAATCTCTCTCTCTTTGTTTATTTGACTGCTTGATGTTTTTCCGAGGAGATCTATGTGGTCATGTTCATGTCCTGACTCGGTTTTGTTCTTCCGATTTATATGCAGGAAGTCAGCTCGAATCAAACAAGAAAGCCATGTCGATCCAGGTATTTACCGCTCTTGCTCTTCTCGGCCGCTAATTTTGTAACAATTGAATTCATAGAATTTTTAAATTTACTTTATTTAGTGAAAGCTGAAATTAGGTCAAGATAGGCTGATTTTTTCAAAGAATCAGTTCAACCCGATCACCCTCATACATACATGAGAGTATGTATTAGGGAGCAATGTAAAACTATTTTCATGATCTTAGCCAACGGCTTGAGATTTTGAGTTGAACTGGTTTTTTTTTGATAGATTTTGGAAAGGATCTGTGTTTTCTACCGATGAATAATTACTTTGTTTTGAGAGATAATCCTCCTCTATAGTCACTTATCTAGGCAAGAATTAATCATTGGAAGAAACCCAGTCTCAAAAACTAATCAATGATTAAGAATCATCTATACTAGCTTTTCCATGTCTGTCTGACCACTGCTAGGCTGCGGTTTAGTATTGGCTTTTGAATGAATTCGTGGCAATTGAGAGATGCCCTGATCTTCTATTTTATCTATGCTTTTCTTTGGCTTCTATCTTGTTATTGTCTCAGTGGAATTTCTTAGATTATCTCTGTTGACTCGGTGAGATTACCTTCTCGTTAGGTCTTGACCTATAATTCCAGTCACGGAAGTATTTGGACTGAAAATCTTGTTTTTGGTCGTCTAATAAACTGGTGGGTTTTTTTTGGCAGTGCAAGGTGTGTATGCAGACATTCATTTGCACCACTTCGGAAGTGAAGTGCAGGGAGCATGCAGAAGCCAAACACCCCAAATCTGACGTCTATACATGTTTCCCCCACCTCCAGAAATGAAGATGAAGCAGGAGAGAAAGAAAGGACTTGTGGGGATTGGTTAAAAGCTTCATATATATTGTCGTAGGTGATCGAGTTTGGAACTTTCCAAAGCAATTCGTTCAGATTCTTGGATGTTTTTGCTATGTGTTGTGGAGTTTGTCTATATTACTATGATGCCTTGGTTACATTATTGACTTTATCTTTGCCCTCGTTGTTTCTGCTTTAATTCCATCGAGATTACGCCATTCCCAATTGCATGTAAAACTTCTGTCCTCTTCAATTGCCTTCTGTGTTCCAGTTTATTGATAAGCTGCCACACAAGTGGGAGGAAGTGGGGATTGTGCTCTTTATAATTGAAAAAACCTCACCGCACCGCATCGTTTCAGGTCAAGGCTAGGTATAATATAACTGATCAGTAATAAATAATCTCCTCAATGAGCTAGTCACGAAAACTCGGATCCGAAACCTCAGGTTAGATGAAACCCATCTTATTGTGTGGACTGCTGTGACTTTGTGTTGTGGACTCATTACGTTATCTATTTTAAATCTTTTTATTATTATTAAAGTGGAGTTCTCAAACGAAAAAATAAATAAAAATGAAACGGGCCTCCAAATAAAATAGCACACAAAGGACTGCTCTCTAAAAACACAAGTCCACACTAACAACAAACCCAAGCCCATCGTGAATAAGGTCGGCCGAAAACCCGGTTGTAAATCATCTAGTGCTCAGCGTATAAAACCATAGCTGTTAAACAAAAAAAAAAAACTCAGTATTTGAAATCTAAATTGGCTTGAGTTATAGCGAAATTGAATAAGATATTAGTACATCCTGATCAATTAGGTTACTAAATAATCGATCATGTAAATATTAGAGAATTTTTTAAAACAAAAAAAATAAAATTATATAATTTTAATAAAAAATAGTTAATTTCATTTTACGAGGTAATCCATCTATCCATGTTTTTTCAGGCCAACCTCTAAACTTTTTTTCAGGCCAACCTCCAAACCAGATAAGAGAACCATATATAAAACAATTAAAGCATCACAATTATTAAAAATCAGTCTGGTTGTCCTGACTCATGAAGGTGCTGGTTATTTTCTTTTTAAAAAATTATATTATTTTAATAAAAATAATTGATCTCAATTAAATTCAATAATTTATTACTCTTTTAAGTTGGTCTCCAAACCAAATAAGAAAACTATTTATAAAGCACCACAATTATTAAAATTCAATCTAATCTGATAGGCAAACCCAATTTTTAGAGTTTACTTAATAGAGTAATTGAGTAATTATGGTTGTTTTTTAAATAAATTTTTATATTAAAATGTATGTTAATAAATTTTTTTATTTTTTAAAAATTATTTTTAATATTACAACATTAAAATGATTTAAAAATATTAAAAATATATTAATTTAAAATAAATAAAAAAATAAAAAAAATTATTTTTTTAATAATATTTTTAAAAAACAAAAACAAACACTCTTAATCCTTAACGAGATATAGATTTTTGAAAAAATTAACTTGAAATTGACCCGTTTGAGTTTTTTCATTTTTCTTTTCCTTCTAAACAATATTATTTTTATTTTAAAAAATAAATTAAAATGATATAAACCCAGGTTAATCATTTTAACCAACCTGTGACCCAAATCTTTGACTCAGTTGGTGTCATGGGTCGAACCGGTTTTAAATAGCTTTGCAAAGCACAACGAGATTGCAACCTTTTCCTCTTTCTCCGTATAGCATCTCTCTGGAACGCTGAGCAAAATCAAATAGCTTCACTATCTCATCTGTCCCTTAATCTCCCAGGTTTAATCTCCTTACTAGTTATTCACACCTCGTATACGAATACAATTATAAATCTTATCCACGCCAAAAGCAAACGGATCGTTGAAATAAGCAACATAGTCGCAACATCAACCACAGGCTTTTTGGTTGGTGATGGACCCTAACATAATGAGGCTTCTCGAAGAAGACGAGGTAAGCATTATTATTTTTCTTCTTATTTTCAACTCAAGTTTGATTTTGAGGGGTTTTTGGAATTGTGCTTAAAGGACGAAACCATGCATTCCGGTGCTGATGTGGAGGCTTTCCAAGCTGCCCTGAACAGGGATATTGGGGGCGATGTGTCCAACTCGCAGCCGTCTGATTCGAGTGCGGGTATTTATTTGATCTTCATTCAACCACATTTTAATCAATTAATTCAGTTTCTTATAATTTACTGGCAGTATAGAATTATATGATTTAGGCTGAAATATGAGAACGTGGAGATTAGGATTAATATGTAAGCATATAAAATTGGAGATTATTTTTTTTTGGCATTGTGCTCGTTTAATTGCTGCAGGTTGTCAAGTGGCCAGTCAGTTTATCATACTTGCATTACTACTTGTGCTTGTGTTTAGTCTTTTCCTACTTTCGTCAAGTTAGTTGACGCAGCGAAAGATAGAAAGCTAGGATTTCCCAATTCCTAAATCTTATGGCCTTAAACTGTAGAGAAAGAAACTAGCGTATAGCTGGTTATAGTTAGCTGACCTACTACAGAACCAGGGAGGTAGAATGCGCTGGCAAAATTTTAGTCCAATCTAACAGTTAGATTAAAATTTACACCCATTCTTGTCAGAAAGCTTGTTTGAAAAGTACAGATTTCTTGCTGGACTTGCTGATACTCTTCTCGCTTGTCTGGAATATATTTAAAATATTGATTATTTATTGTACACAATTGTAAAATATAGTAGTTTTGTCCCACGAAAACAATCAAAGTTCCAGTCAACAATTTCCTAATCGGCCAACTGCAGGGAAAAATGGCAATGCCAATAATACTGAGGAACTTGATGCAAAAAATGTTCCACAACAACATCATCAGGAGCAGCACACATCTGCAATGGAGACAAAGCAGAATGGACCTAACGCTGAGAACCAACAGCAGCAGGGGGGTTTCCCACAGGAACCAACCCACCTGCCATTACTTAAGAAAACATCCCAAGATGACATTAAACAAGAGCTTGTGGAACAGGCTCCTCTCCGGACTCCTCAATTGATTGGGATGCAAAGCTATGAGAAAAATCCTATCCCAAAATCCGAGCCTGATAAAATGCAAAGTTCTGATGGTGATCCTCACTTTTTAAATTTTCAGAAGATGAGCAATCAGCAAACTGCAGGCACAGATCAGGCAGGTAACCAAAAGAATAGCAAGCAGATACCTTTTGCGATATTGTTGCCTGCCTTAAAGCCTCATCTTGATAAAGACAGAGAGATGCAGCTACAAACTTTATATAATAAACTGAGGGTGGGTCTCTAACATGAATTTCTTTGTTCTTGTGCTTTCTCTTTTATGTATGGGACTGGTTATTATTATGATATATCTTCCTTTTTTATTTTTAGAAAAATGAAATTGCAAAAGACCAATTTGTCAGACTCATGAGAAATATTGTTGGGGATCAAGTGCTCAGGCTGGCAGCTGCACAGCTGCAATCACAGGCAAGTACTGTATGGGTTAGTGAAATTGTAATGAGCTTAGGACACTCGTAGTGATATTAGGCTAAAACTAGCTTGTCCTGCACTGCAGCCAGGTACCAACCAATCCCAGTTACAGCCTCAAGCTGATCGCCAGCTCGATGGGCGAATGCCTGCTGGTATCAGTGCTGCTCAGTTTCCTGATCCACATCATTCTGTACTTCATCCGAGGGGATCTATTCCTGCAGAACCATCTCATAATCCTCCTTCAGCAGTCCAATTGCATGCTGATTCAAGCATTGTCAATTCTCAGAAATCCAAAGCGGTAGAATGGAAGCCAGATTCTCTTGTAATGCAAGCGAGCCAATCACATTCCTCCAATGCCAGCATTTCCAATCAAGAAAGAGAGCGATCCTCTATTTCAATACAAGGGCATAACAAGCAACAACAACATGCAAACTTTCCACCAACTTCCTTTTCAATGTATGGAAGCAGTGGTGGTAATTACCATCCATATTCTGGGACAAATGTTAGTACTTCAGGACCATCTGTGAAGCCACAACCCCATGATCCACAAACAAGGCAAATTTCACATCATCAAAATCTGGGCGTGACTCAAATTGGAGGGCCAGCGCACAGCATGATAAGCACGCCGAAGTTTGAGAGGCAAAATTCTGCTGATGATCCCAGTAGAGTGCACAGTGGTTCTGTTTCCCATTATACAAACAAATCAGCATTGCAACAGAATTCAGCTCCTTGGCAAGCACCACCAAATAGAGAGAAAAGTCCTGCTTCATTCTCTTCGTTGAATTATGTAAAACCAGGTTTGCTTGAACAGGCTGGTGAGCAGCAGAACAAACCCCAGTTGTCGAGCCCTCAAGTGCTGTCTCCATCACCTGTTGAAAAGGGAAATGCAATTTCAGGAAATTTAAAGGATCAATCTCTAGACAAGCAGTCTACTAAAATTGTTTTTTCAACAGTGCCTCCCAGTTCTGCCCCCCCTTCAATTGCGACTCAAATGGACCCCAGTGGCCAGGTACTTTCATACTAATCATGAATATAATTCTAACACATCTAGTTGTTAGGTCTTGATTTCATAGTTTATCTATCATCTTATAGGTCGTTTTTTAACACATTTACAGAAGAACATGACCATTTGTTTTTTGCATGGCTGCTTTACTTTTAAACTTTCTTTCTTTCTTTTTTCATTTTTACTTTGGTCTTATGTTTTCAAGTGGTGAAAACCCCCCAGTACTTCCTACTAATTTGCAATGGATAATTAATTTCATGTAATGCCAGAAACATTTGATTTTGTTCTATTCTTGTTACTATGAACATTGATGAGGCTGGATTAAAATAACTTGTCCATTGGGCATAGGAGAAACTTGATATCTTATACCAAGCATCAGTGAGAGCAAACATACATGATTTAGAAACAGGGATTGAAAAAAGTGGTAGAAATAATGCAAATTGCTCTGCATCCCTGACTCTTTATCAATCAGATAATGGTGGTTGGACCAATTAGCAATAGTTATTAGGTTGGAGTTTTTGGGTGCTTCACAAGCCCAACTCTTTTAGCCAATGATGATTTATCCAGCTGTTGAGATGAAACATGATGATGTTTTTTTTTTGGGGGGTTAATCAGGTGGCCTTTTGAGTCTTGAGCTACACAAATGGGGGTAGGCCTTTCTTATAAAACAATGAGCAAATAAACTGGAGTTAGTCGGACTTGAACCTGCTTCATTAAAGGAAGCTTCTTTGAAACTGGTTGAAAATTGTAGCCTTCTCCAAGATCCTTGAAAATGAACCACAAATGTCATCCTGCATTTTGCAAAACTCAAGTACTCTTTTGGTGTGTGAATATATGATGTATAGTGGGAAGAGATATGAAATCAAAATAGCAAAGAACAGTAAATATGATGTCTGAACTAGAAGAAAATTGAAGCTGGAACTGGAAAAATAAGTTTACAGTTTGTAGACGGTCTCTAAAACACAAACCGATTGATAAAATATAAGAAATGTCTGGAATAATAGCATAGGCAGCCTTATTTATACTAGTTGTAGGTCTAAATCCTAATCCTCGTCAGAAAAGGAAGCACTATTAAAAGTTATAGGACTAATAGTGAATCCAAATAACACAAGCATTTTCTTAACCAAATAAAAAAAACTAAAATTACTAAGCAAATAAAAATCTTCTGAAAGCTCCTGTGTCAACATGGTATATAGCTAAAAGCATCCGCTGTCTTAACATTGGCTTCTAGCTCTGGTGGAATATATGAGTAAATTTGTCTTTACCAGCTTATTTCCCTGTGGTTTGACTCAGATTTAGAGTCAATATGGTATACAGATTCTCCAATCCCATGAAATTTTATGAAGATTTTTTAATTTAACTCATCAGAAATATGTTTTGTGCACTCAATTTCACAAACAAAACTGCTGGAATGACTAAACTAGACATTTTCTGTCCATCGATGAATAATATCCTTTTTGCTTCTATATGTTATCAGGCAGGCATGCGAATCTCACCTGTAGCTTCTCCTGCTGGAGTTAATGCAAGAACGCCTCCCAAAAAGCCTTCTGTTGGCCAAAAGAAGCCATTTGAAACACTTGGTTCTTCTCCACCTGCCTCAACGTAAAATAGCTCCTTTTATGGACCAAGAATGATTTTAATTGACTCATTTATTTCTTTAATTCTATTAAAGCTCTTTTTCAATCATGTTTGATGCATAATCGATGGGATAACATGCAGTAAGAAGCATAAGGTATCTGGGGCTTTTTCGGATCAAAGCATTGAACAACTCAATGATGTCACTGCTGTCAGTGGAGTTAATCTCAGGGTATTTTTGGCAACCATCAAGATTATGTGTACAAAAGTATCATCTAGCAAGGAAAAGCACTCCTTTGACAAATAAGCTTGGAATTCTCAGGATGTTCTGCTTTGATGTAGGAGGAGGAAGAACAGCTATTTTCAGGGCCCAAGGATGACATTCGAGTTTCTGAAGCATCGCGACGGTTTGTACAAGAAGAAGAAGAAAAACTGATGTTGCAGAAAACTCCTTTGAAGAAAAAATTAGGAGAGATCAGTTAGTATTTTTGTTTTATGGCCCCTGTTATGTCCGCTGTTAATCCATTTGTCTATGCACTTCGTGCTTTATGGAAGGCAGCATTATTCACATGGTTTGATATTTATTGTTCTATCTGTTTCAGTGGCCAAATGTGGTTTGAAGAACTTTGGCACTGATGTGGAGCGATGCTTGTCCTTGGTGAGTTGCTAGCTCTTGGTCCATTTTTTGGGATAATTTTCACACGTTTTCTTGTGGAATTCAAATTTTAGTGTGTGGAAGAAAGGATGCGCGGACTAATAAGTAGCATGATCAGGCTGTCAAAACAGGTGTGTTTTTGTTTTCTTTTCACTAACTTCTCAGACTCTTTCTCTGTTCGTGGATTTATTTGCTTACTTTAATCATCTTTCATGATTTAAATTGGATCTCTACAGCGTGTTGATGCCGAGAAGCCAAGACACCAGACTCTAATTACTTCAGATGTTCGGCAACAGATCATGAGAATGAACCGGAAAGCCCAGGAAGAATTGGAGAAAAAGCAGGCTGAAGCAGAAAAGCTCCAAAAAGTTAACGAAGTGGGTGCTTTGTTTGATACTATCTACTTTCTTAATACATGATTCAAGAACTGCATGCTCATATAGAACAATACACTTTCTTAAACTATCATTATATATGATTCAAGAAGTACATTCATAAAGAACAATACACAAGTACATATGTAGTATTTCTACATATGATATATTTGTTCAAGCATGAATTCCTTAACTTTTCACGTACTTTGCATCTCTGTATACAGCCGGACAGTGACAATGGAGGTGAGGGTGAGAAAGAGAAAGATGAAGGTCGTGTGAAATCAGTGAAGGTATTAAAGATGTTGCCAGTATTAAAAGTTTGCCTTCTAGCCAAATAAAACAAATCTCTGTTTTTCTAATTTCTATAACTATGTAGGCTAACAAAGAGGAGGATGACAAAATGAGGACAACAGCTGCTAATGTTGCTGCCCGAGCAGCTGTTGGGGGAGATGACATACTGTCAAAATGGCAACTAATGGCTGAGCAAGCCCGGCAGAAACGCGAAGGTGGGATGGAGGGGGCATCCGGTTCCCAGCCAGTTAAAGATGTGAACCGCAAACCTCTATCACCATCAGGAAGAAATATGATGGAAAATCTCGAAGCAGAAAAAAGGAGCCATGTGGTTCCTTCTTCTGCATCTGGTAAGTGTGACAATTCAAGGGACACATGCTGGAGCAAACTTTCTTTTCGAAATCACATTATGTACTATGGTGTTCATTACATTTGTTTGGTTTTTAACCTTACCTTTTTCCTTTGGCAGGAGCTGGGAGGAAATGTGCAAGGAATCAAGCAATTGTGCCTCAAACCAAGGTGGTTCGTACCATTTCTGTGAAGGATGTAATGTCAGTGCTGGAAAGGGAACCTCAGATGTCCAGGTCTACTCTGATTTACCAACTGTACGAGCGAATCAGGTCTGATGCTACAGCTGAATAACGCCACGCGTGCCTCCCCCACAATGGTTTTTTTTTGTGTTTGGTACCTGACAAGATTACGGCCCTGAGTCCTGACTGTTGCATGGCCAATCATCGTCTGATTTGGCTGGAAGGACAAATTTGTAAGATAAATCACCGTAATTGTCTTGCCTCTGCATGACAGGGCTCAGAAATTCGACTTAGAAGCATCCATAGAATCTTGTGGCCGCCAGAAGATGTGCCTTGTTCAATGCTTTTGCTGTTGCTCGTGTTAATTTCACCACCTTAATTCTTGCTTTACTCCGTGGAAACAATATACTCTGATATTTTTGTTGTAAAAATTAGCGTTGAGCATATTTTGTGAGTTTGGAACTCCAATCGAATATAAGTGTATACTTGGCACTCCGAAGCAGGACCATGCAAAATTTATCATTGAAAGATGATTGCCACTCCTGTTTTTCAAATGGTACGCATATTGCAAGATCTCCCGTGACAATGTTTTTTTTTTCAGAAATGGAAAGATTACTTAATGTTTGTAAACAAAAATAATTGGCCAGCACAAAGAGGAGGTCATAGATTTTCATAGACATCCATACATCAGGAGATGTAAAATTGAAAAGCTTGAATATGCATGCAAGAAAATCTGACTTTCCTCGGCCAGTACAGATGCCGAGGCCCTAAATTGCAGTTTTCTACAGCTTACATGCGAACTCTGCATGCCTAAAAAATTCTCAAGGCAAGAAATGACAGGCACCAAACAGCCAACGTGTTACATTTCCTTGCAAGTGATGGGGTCTGGAAACCAAGCCATTCAGTTAGATAGTTGTGCTTCCCATGAAATGATGTGGTGCTCACTAATCCTTGGTGCAGTGGGCATCTGTACCGTGCTGGACACAATGACTATAACCAACACTTAGGAGGAAATCCCGGATCTCTTTGGCACTACTGTTGCTCGCTTGCAGCAACCTTTCATCTTCCTCGTAAATTAGGTAGGGGGCTTCATCTTTCTTTCTTGACAGTAATTTCACCGCCCCTTTCAGTACATGATATTCCCATCCCTGTACATCTATTTTGAGAAGCAACACAGGCTCTGAATCTGTTATTAGTTCGTCAAGAGGGATGGTCCTTACTTGAAGGGCTATTTCTTCGTTGGACTTGAATGCCAGCTTTGCACCAGTGGCTGAAACAGCACTATTGTCAAGCCGACCTACCAGCTGCCAGTTTAGAAGGACTAAGATGATGAGTATTCAGTACAGCAAATGGAAGAAGTAGGGTTCAAATTAGGCTAAATCAATCAACCAGTATAAATCTTAGCCCTAAAAAGAGAATTAAACTTTGGGAAAAGATTGCTTTTTTACCTTGTAAAAAGTGATATTGCCAATCCGATCAGAGACAGCAGTCTCAAAAACAGTAACCAAGTCCGCAACACGATTAAACCAAATCCCATCACAAATCCTCAGAAGGTTGTCAATCACTGGCTCAAAAGCCAGCACTTTAAAACCCATAACCGCGGCTGCGAAACTCGCCATTCCCACATTAGCCCCAACATCCACAACCAACCCATTTCTCCCTTTCATTCCTTCAAGAAGTTGCTGAATCGTGGCTGAAATATCTGGCTTTCTGAAAGGCTTTCCTTTCAGAAGCCTGACAATGTTCTTGTGGGGCTTGTCGGGCAAGGACCCAAAATCCGAGAGAGAGTAGATGAAGGGGTATTTGAGGTTTTCCACTATGTTGGCAACCACAGGGTGAGCTTGGGGAGATTTTAAGCAATCAAAAGGAGGGGTTGGGTAAACTCGGGGTACATAAAGCGTGGAGTTAGGAGGATTCAATGGGGATCGAGCGTAGAAAAAGAAGAGAAACAGGAGGAAGAGAGAAAGTGAGAGGAGGAGAAGGATTGGAGAGAGGTATCTTGGCTGTTTGTTGCTTTCTCTTTTCCAGGCATTTGCCATCCCTGAAAAAGTGAGGGAAGATTGGATCCAACCCAATCTAACCGTCGTGAGATGTTAATCACTTGATTTTATTAAGATGACTTTTTTAGGTTTCTGCCCCCAAGCATAGTTCTCGCTTCTCGGATCCGATCCTAGAACTGTTTCTTCATAGAGTTTGAGTTTTGTTTTTTAAAATAAATTTCTTAATATTAACTCGTCAAATCTTAATTGGGTTTGTCGAGTCAGGTTATTGAAAAACTAGCCGGATTTTCCCGGTTTGGTAGAGTCAATATATAGTTTAATTCAATTAGAAATCCGATATAAATTCGACAATGAATTTCAAGTTTTCTAAGTCTATTCATTTTCAGATTTGAACAAGGTTAGTTAAGTTAATTAAATCATTGAAAATCTGTTCATAATCAATTGGGTTTAATATTCATATCTACTAGAAACTCTAAATTTAACTCATTAAAAACATTATTAAAATTAATAAAGTTTTATCGATCTCAATTAAAAATTTAGTCTTAATTAGAATTAGAATTTTAAATTTTTCAGTTTGTGTTTTGAAATTATGGTATAAAATATTTTTTAAAAGGTTTTTTTATTTGAAAATGTATTAAAATAATTTTTTAATTTATTTTTAATATTAATACATCTAAATTATAAAAATACTAAAAAATAATTTTATGTTTTTTAACTGAAAATATTTTTAAAAAATATTCAAAATAAATTTTAAAAATCAGAAAAAAAAACTACTGTTTTTTTTTTTTTCCCTTTCGTGTATAGACAACACTCCCTGGTTATTTTTGGAAGGAAACAGAAACAGAGGATCAGAAAAACCAGCGCACAATATTTCTTATCTGAAGATGCAAGCGTATGATTGACAGATTGTGCACTAGCTAGAGAGAGAGAACGTTTATCATCTAGCTTGCTTCTTTCAATTCTCTTTTCTAAGCTTAATAAATGCCAAAACTTTAACCAACATTGAAGTTTTATCTCACTTCAGTTAGTTGTCACAATCTCCATGGCCTGCAATTATAGTTTGTGGAGCTATTGCATAGTATTTATGATGTATAATCACAGGTTGAGGATGGAACTACTTGATTTAATCCCTTCTTCTGCTAAAGTATCTACTTAAATTGATACTTGATCCTCTTTTCTGTAGCTAGGCTCACCGGGTTAAAAACTGTATAAAAAATTGGCTGTGCAGGTTATGAATTACTTTGTTTGGTAGATTTATGATATTTCTTCTGGTTTAAGTGATCTTACAGGATCTCTTTTTATCCCATTGTGTGCGCGAAGGGTGTGGGTGTGGAAATTAAGTTCCTTGATTGCTTATGGTAAACATTTGTGCAGATGATTTCATCAACATCATCTAGTTCTTTAGACTTCATAAGGGCATTACGCGTGGCTGGATATGGTTTGCTATTTTTAGGGCCATCATAGCATCTTTGGTTCAATTTTATGTCAAAAGTTCTCCCAAAACGTGATGTGCTAACTACCTTCAAGAAAGTTTTTATGGGACAAGCAGTTTATGGACCTGCTAATGCTACCCTTTTTTCTCCTATAATGCAGCTTTACAAGGTGAACAAAATTTTTATTTCAGTATGATTTCAGTGTTCTATGGCACTAGTATTTTTATAACGGCATTTATAGTTGGCTCTCCAGGGCATCTTGTGTTTTTTTTCCACCACAAGGTTATAGAGAGGCAGTAAGTGGTCAATTCTTTATCATCTCTCATTTGTACAAGTCTGTGGAGGCAACATCAGAGCCCTCCTCTAGGTATCAATGCCTGTACTTGGATCAATTTGATCCTATGGTAGGGCTCCATCTGTTTGATGCCAGTGAAGGTTTGGCATTGTCCTGGATGTTATTGGCTGCTGGCATACTCTGTGCAAGCTAGCTTTTTTAAAAAAAACTTTGGAGCTGTTACAGGTCTTCGCGGGGCCTTGCTGTTTGATGATTTCTTTGCCTAGCCAGAGCTGCAGTTCAGTAAAACAGCCTCAAACAGAAGGCCCCGCTGGATTTTACTGCTGCAACATGATAATTTAAACCAAGCCAGGCTCTGTCTTTACATGTTTGTTCTATTGTTTATTTTCTTCCAAAAAAAACTGGGCCTCAACCATATGTTAGGACATGAGATGGCGTTCAACTCGTTTCACTCTACATCCCTCGCTTTAGTGATGGGAGATATGTCAACTTGCCCGTGGACCTATTTATATTTGAATATTTCTCTTATCCTTTGGTCTTCGGCGTTCCTGAATGACTGTTCTGGTACCAGCTCAGGTGAAAGAGGCGATGAGATAGTAGCTAGATTGAAGCGTGACCTCCTTCCAACTCTGAGGAATGGTCTTTTGTACTGGCCAGCATGTGATTTTGCAACATATAAATTTGTGCTCGTTCATCCACAGGTATACACGGGTCCTTTTCTTTCCTATATATGAAAATTTGTGTAAGCCTAATTTCTATGACTCGGAGGTAATTTGTTTTTTTCTTTGCTAACATATGGGATTTCTGGTAATGCTTTTGACAGCCACTGGTGAACATTATTTGTTCATATGTGTGGACAATCTATTTAACAGGCATGGCAGGCTTCAAGAAAGCGAGAACGGATTAATCCTCAGATTTGGACTTCAAATGCTGCACATGTTTCCCCGTTTGAGTTATAGAAGACGAATGCAACGGCTTTACCCCTTTTGCTGGTTCAAGATTATTTAAGCATTGAAATTAGATCAAATTATTGCTTGTAGGCATTCCTTTTAGCTCTAGATAATCATGCTCGTGTCGTGAAATTTAATGCTTAGATCCTATTGTATAAGATCCTTGATCGTTGGAGTTGGAATACATGCATTCATGCTTGCACCTTCTCATATCTCTCCCTGTCCCTTTTTTAAGCAGACTGTTCTAAGAATTTTGTAGATAATAAATTTTTGTTGGCTGACACTAATGGATGATGCCTGTTCATCGGCCAAGAAAATTTACTTGGCAGGCATTGCTAACATCCAAAGGTAACTTGATGTGTGCAATTTATAGGGTGCAAATCAGTTTGGTTTGGTTTAGTTGGTTTTAACATTTTAAAATTGAAACTAAACTGAATAATTTTTTTAGAATATTTTAAAATTAATTTTATTTTCTCAGTTTAATTTTATTTTCATTTTTTTCTCACCCTTTAAAAAATTATGTTTGCCATGCTCTCATGGGATTGTGATCTACGAATTCCTCCATTTGAAACCACGACGAGACCCAATATGTAGCATAGTCATTTTTTTTTAAGTGTATAAAAAATTGCTAATTATAAATCAATTCACACCAATAATTTAAATACTATAATAAAAAATGAAACTCATATTTAAAGTAAAATACATAGAATAAAACTATTTACACTTAAATTACCTAACGGGGTGTTTTCTTTGGTGGGAACAAGGCAATTCATAAAATTTGTTATTAAAAAGAATGCAATCCAATATTTTTTTAATACAAAAGTTGCTGTATATGGATTTTCCTATCTTTATTTAGAATTAAATATATTATAAGAAATTAATCACCATCATTCGTCATTCTTTTGGAAAATATCTGTGCATAAAAAAATTAAGAATTAAATCATAGTTAAATAAAATAAAATATTGACATAATAAAATTTAATCTACTCGATTAAATTTTAATAACCTAATAAATTTTTAACCGGGTTAATATTAAAATAAAACAATGTCGTTATAATTTATCTAAATATACCGGTAATTGATCCAAGCCCATGTAGTTTTCCCAAGTCAGTTGCGACAACTATGAAATGACCTATAAAAGCAGCCACATATCACCTCCCACGCAAACGAAATAGCGGTCAGGGTTTTTGGCACTTGAGAGCGGCGCAGCGACTCAGGCGTTACTCCGTCGATCACAACAACTAGATGGGCCACTCAAATATTTGGAACTCGCATCCCAAGAACTACGGTCCTGGATCCCGAACCTGGTATTTTATGGAACTCAGCTTCTTCTTTTTTTTTTTTATTTACCGCCAACTTGATTTGATGATTCCCATGTTGTTTTTGTTTAATGTCCTGTCTTCTTTTTGAATTGGTTTTCGATCTCTGTATGCTATCTATTTTCGTTGCTTAGTTTTCAAATTTGAAAGAACAACTCATGAAATCCATATTTGCTTAAGTTTTTGCTTAGGTTTGATGTTTTTCTTGATTGCCTTGTTTGTTTAGGTCCTTGTAAAATGATGGTGATCCCTTTTAGGTCAAGATATTGTATTTTCTTTGCTTTTGATTGTCTAGTTGCTATGTGGACTAAATCTCTTTCCTGAGTGAATTTCACGTCCTAACTTTATTCAGTTAAGGATTTTGATTTGAAATCTCCTTGTTGGCAGCCGAGTGTGTGGAAACCCTCATGGGATAATCAGGAAGTATGGACTGATGTGTTGTAGGCAGTGTTTCCGCAGCAATGCGAAGGAGATAGGCTTCATCAAGGTAAGATGAGAGAAATATTTGATAATTCTGGTATTTTTATTTTTTCATTTATTTTTGTTAGCTCATACAGTCTTATGGTTGCTGCATGAACTGTTTGCGGAATGCCTTTAATTTTGGATTGGTAAATAGTTCTTGTCATGCAATTTTGAACTCTAGAGATCCTTTATTTTCTGATAATTTTTACAATGAACTGTTTGTTTAGATAAATCCCATAAGTTAGAATGAAGCAAAACAGGAACCAATTCGACTTGGCTCGAATTTGTAGTGGCCTCTTTTATTATGCAAGGTTCACGGTTTGAACTCTCCCTAGAGTATTTGAGCCCTCAACCGTCCTCTCTTTGCAAAGGAAAAAGGAATAAAATAGGAACTTCAACCAACTTCAAAATCAAATTCTTTGAAGTGTGGGATTGCCATGGATTAGTCTGTTTTGTCGTTGCTAAATTTGTTTACTAAGTGAGGTGAGACATTCGTATTTGTTTCTGACTGCAGTACCGCTGAATGGAGAACTCGTTGATATCTGTTTTTGAAGGCTCTGTCTGAAATATGGTGTGCGGGAGTTTGAAATATGGTGTGCGGGAGTTTTATCGTCCTTTTCTTTTATCATCTCCAGTGATGTAATCTACTGAATTCTGAAGTCTTAACTATATTGTCTTGTGTTATTTTTAGAAAGGAATTTGTTTAGAGTATTTTGATTTGTGTTTTCATTTCATTCGTAGCACGCTGTTTATGTTTTGTGATGGTTTCTCCTTTGTTTGGAGTCCTGTTTTAACAGTAGCCAGTCCGGGGATTTACCGATGTGGTTTTTGGTCTAAGCATGCACTTGTTCAACAGAGTTGTATAAAGAGGAACCCTACCCAGATACCTTATTGAACTGATGTTCAAGTACCACATGCTAATTCTTGCAACCTTAGCTCAGACAGTGGAAATTTTTTTGGTTCGCCTGGATGGCCTTGTGGTGTTAGGTTCCTGTTTCACCCGACCCATGATTTTGAAGTAGCTGTTTGGTATTGTGTTTAAGTTGGCAAAAAACAAGTTGAGTCAAAAGTAGGTGTTTGGTAACCCTTTCAAAACCATGTTTTTGAAAACTTGGTACACTTAAAATCATGGTTTTTATAAAGCTGAAATTTGAGGCTTTTTTAAAACCATGGTTTTAGATGCAAATCATGGCTTTGAAAACACAATCCCAAATTAAACCTAAGTCAGCTGGGGCCAGGTTACTATCAAAGTCGTGTTTCCAAAAGTAATTTAGCCTGGCATTCAACCTGTTAAAGCAATTTACCAAGTTCTTTCATATCTCTTATTTTTCATATTGTTAGTTAAATTCTTTGCATCATGATAAATGACTATCCTCCGCCAAGAATTACACAAATAATTCACTTTAATGAAAAGCGGCAAGACTTGGAATTGTGAATTTCTTAATTTTAATGTACTGCTTATCCAGTTAAACGTGATTAGTGAAGGAAAACAAGTTTCAAATGCGAAATAGCCAAATGGTCATGCCGCTTGGCGCGCGCGCGCGCACAGTCAAGAACGCTATTGCCAATGACCAAGTGTACCCCGAAGCTTGTAAAAAGGTATAACGTGGTTGCCAAATTCAAGGAAATTGAAATAGAGGCCCTTAACCAGCTATGATCCAAGAAGTTTTTGGAAAAATTCTTTTTGGCATATAAGAAATAGAAACAACTGAAGAGATGGGCTGCACCACTGGGTTATTTCTCGTAATTTTGCAGTCAAAGCTGCTACCCTTATCTTTTTCTTTAAGCAAATGAGAAATTATGAACAGAGCACGTACCCGTGATACACACGCTCGATTTTCTTTTGCCTGCTTGTATTGCATGGCTTTGTATTGGGGGCTCACTGTGTAATTCACTCACCACCCTCGATTTTGATGCCTGTTGGGGTCAGGTTACCAGCAAGGTCGTGTTTCCAAAATATTGCTTGAACATGCAAGTCCCAGGTATTCGTGCCGCTGTCTGAACTGGATGAATTATTAACCGCTTCTATTTCTTACACAGAAAATAATTTTGAATAATCTACGATTGTTAAAATAGGAACTTGGCCGTCTTATGTTAGAAAGAAAATATAAATATCCGAAAATACCTACGAAATGTAAAAAATAAATAAAAAACATCTCCAGCGTATAATTCAGGTACCTTTTCGACTTCAACTGGTCAATATGGCTCTTAGAACATCATGATAAAATTCAAACATATAAAAAATTATATATATTTTTGTTAAAAAAAATTCATTTGACACGTATGAACTTTCTGATTGATTTAAACTTGTAGCCATTCTATGACAAATCCATATCTGATAGCTTAAATCTGCCGAGTCTCTTGCATCAATTCGACTCGACCAGGTCATATGAATTACTAACAAGATTTGTATCTGAAACACTCCTGGTCCAGATAGAGAATGAGCCTAAATTGCAAAAACAGAACCCACAGCCAATGATACTTCCAACCTTGAAATTGTCATAGTTATTTACGATCTGTTTCTTGCACGCTCACAATGCAGCTCTGTTTGTTTGTTGTGATTTTGATGTGTGATAGGATTACAAGCTTACAAGACTTGGTTATGTAGTTAGGCTTGTAGACGAAGTTAGTTTTGATATTACTAGAAATGGATTGATTCATGATCCATTCAGATGAATAGTCTAATGTATATTTGAATTTACAAGAGAAATAAATCTAGATATAAAACAAGGTTTGCAATTACTAAGGTATTATTGGATTCAACTTAAATTTTTATAAGTGATTTTAATGCGTTATTGAATCATATTTCAGAATTGTATTTTGAGTATTGATGCTTCTAATATGATAATTTTTAGTATTTTGTTTTTTGAATTTAGTGTTTTAATTCGGATTTTTTATTTATTTTCTTTATGTTTTCTACTTCTTTGTTAATTCCTAAAAGAAGTAGAGGTTTTTTAACCTATTTAAAGTTATTGTAACCTCTTAGAAAAAAACAGCCACAGTATTCATTTATTTTCAGACAATAAAAATGATGAATTGACGATTCGCGTGATCCATTAATCTTCTGTACAGTGTAGCTTCCGCCTGCGCAATACTTTTTTTGCGTCCCTTCGCGGTTCCAATTATGATGACCTGTGATGCATTAAATTGGATCAAATTTTCCATTAAATATTAATCTTGTTAAATCTTGATCTTCAATCAGGTGTCCAGCTTCTCGCTTTCATCTTCCCCATCAACAATGTCGTGTCTCTGTCCCGTATTTCGTGCTTTGAAAGGCTTTGCCCATACTTCGATGACTCTTCTGAGAAGAAAGAGAAGAATTTCAAGTCAAAAGTTAATGCTTCTATAATATATATGTATATATATCGGCTGGCTACTTGCCTTCCATTATGGATCGTCCTGCTCTTGGCTTTTAAGGAGTTATAAATCGTTACTGCAAATTTTGACCAAGATAACTTTTAGTTGTCGTTTCCCAGATAAGAGAGTGAACCAAATGCACATCAAAATTCTGAATAATAATTCTGATATCCAAAAGAGCTCACAAAGTGACTTTAAATAGCTAGGATTGAAAATTTTGTTGTTTTTTTTACTATTTAGAAAATAAAAAATTATACGAACTAAAAACAAAGGTCTAAATAATAGAATTTGGTGTCTTGAAAAACCTCAAACATCATATCTTGATGTCACGACATGCATCTCTTGCCTTAAAAATGTTACGATATGCACAAAAACATCGCAAATCCGACTGAACTATTGTTTCCTTAATTTCATCCTTGCGCTGATATGTCTTGCCAAGGCAGTTCAGCAACTTCACTAGTCCAAAATACCCTGGATTAGCATGTGGGGTTTTACATCGTTCATCCAACCGTAGAATTTGACTCTTTAGTTTGTGAGATCAGTGCTCTTCTTGAGCTGAAAGAACTGGAGCAGCTTTCCAGTTAAGGATAAATAAGATCTCTAGCTAGTTCAGTAAATAAAATTTCTTAACATCTCTTAGATTTTCTTTTCTTGATTGCCAAGGAGTATTCGGATCATTGACTAACTTAGCCTCCAAGGAGATGTAAGCTGGAACTTCGTATCAATGATCCTCTTGGGTTGGTCCAAGTGATAAACGAGTTTACTTTCTTTATAGTTACAGCATCAAATTTAATAGGAAACTCCTAGCAAAAAAGGAAACGGTGTCGTTTGATAAACAAGGTGATGCATGGCAGTTCGGTGCAAAATTGCTTTTGCTTTGCTGTCAGGACTCAGGAGCAGCAGAGGACGTGCCTGACGGCTCGCATTCCACCACAACTCTATCGAAATCTTCATTAATTCCTCACTGTTCTCTTCTACGCTAAAAAGCATACAACACAAAGACAAAACCCCAATTTACTCCCTTCCTGCTTCTCTGGCAATGCAAGACAATGATACCCACATGCTTTCTTTTATTGTTCACTTACCCTCATAAAAACAACGCAGTCTCTTTTTTAATTTCCTAGACATGGGCTCTAACCCTTTTACTCCTTATCTCCTCTGATTTTCTGGTAGACTTTCGTGCTCTCTCAATCTTTTGTGACGAAAGCTGATCAGCGATCATCCCTTTTCTCCTGGTCTTCTCTGTGGGCTTACTTGCATACTAAGGGGCTGTAAGGTGTCTTCTTAAGGAAAGATTCTACAGTTATTTTCGAGGAGACAGGCTTTTGTTTGTGTGTCCTTTCTGTTATTTTCAATACATTATGAAGGTTTCTGGGCTCTGGATTTTGTACTTGATGGTTGGGACAGCCTTAATGTTCCTTAACTGCTCACCATGCACAACTTGCTTGGCAATTACTGGTAAGTGCCTAAGTGGTACTGCTAACTATTTTCAGCTCCACTTGTGGTTTTGCTTGCATCATCGCATTATAGGACAGACATTGACAGAAAGTTTCTGATTTCATATAGGATCTTGTAGAGTTTCTCATTCTCATTGTCTTTTCTTAATTTGGTTGTTGGGTTTTGATTCTCGACATTGCTTTCTCTTTTTAATGCTTGTTCACATTTGGTTCTCACAATTAGGAAACAGATTGAGAAAATAATGCAATGATAACCTTTTTTGTGTGTGGAGATTTGTTTTCAGTGATCGATACGTAAAATGAGTTCGGCCCCTCTTCACTACGAATTGTCAATGTCAAGGCTCTGATTCTGATCTCTATAATTGAAGCAGAACTGTTTGTTTTCTTTCACCTATGAATTGCCGAAGTCACACTAAGAAATCGGGGCTTGCAATACAAAATCCTTGTGTAGCCGAGTCCCTGCTTTTACTTAAGAGTCGAATTTCGTGATCCCTATTGGGTTGTTCTATCATCATACCAGCAGCATTTATTGTTGTAGTTAGCCGTCTTAACAAATCAGGTGGAAATATACATGGAAAATCCAAATCATGCCTAAGTAAAGCTTCTTAAATCCGAAATATTTATCAAGCAATCAATCTATTTAATCATTAATGTACTAGAAGTAAGTTAACTGAACACAGGCATTTCTGCAACTCGACAGACTGGAGAGTACTGTTAAATAATAGTCGTCGGTGGCCGAAATTCTTTTTAAACATGGAGCGCTGGGTGGATTCTATAATCAGGCGCATTGATTTATGCAAAAATGAATTCTTAGTTCAAAGGCTTGTGTAACCAAAGGAAGACTAGCCACTAGATACAAAAATAAAGAAGAGGTGCTTAGCTTTCCCTTCTTAAAATCCCTGCTTTGGAGAGGGCATAACTTGTATTCATCTAGCACCTGTCGTTGTTCTTGAATGGATCCTTGGTTTTAGAGACTGAATAGTTGGCAGAAGAGTGAATAATATGTATTTGTTGTCTTGTAATCATTCTGCAACTTAAGGGTCAGTCCAGAATATGCTGGCTTCAAATCATGGGATTCTTTAAACAATTGGAAATCTTTTCCGGAAAAAACTTGTGAATTGTGATTGCATTTTAGTATCTTTCCTCTAAATAACACTCTAATCTAGAGCGCGCATTGTGCAGCAAGGACTGCAACAATTATACATTTGTGGGCAATTAGTCCTTGGACACAACAATTTTTTGGCCATTTATTGTATTCTTTGCCTTTCCAACAGTGGATAAGGGTTGTCAAACCTTGTATGATCAAATTAAATGTCATGTGGAGTCTTTTGGAATTCATATCAGTGATTATGCTGTGGAATTGGTGCACAAGATCTTGTAAGATGGTTTTTCCAGAGAGAAATTGTTCAATGATGACGAAACTTCAATTTTTGAATTGTTCTTATCATTGGCTAGCAGGAACCACTGGCTAGTGATCATGCTAACACTATGTTATTCCTGAATGTAATTCCAGATGCGGTCTTCACTGACTCTAGTGGTAGCATGACAATGGCAACAACAAGCAGGAAGCTCAAGGTACATGCACTGCAGGCATAAAAGGGCATATAGGCTAATATAAGAACCATTCATTTTGCTTTAATTATGAAGATGCAACAAAGTAATTAACTGGTACCTTTTTATTCTTATCCTATGAAACTGCAGGACAATGGCTATGATCTGAACGATGATGTTAAGACCAATGCACACAACGTGAACCTGGAAGATTACCACCCTATCGATCCAGTTCCAAGTTCAAAAGCTTCCATAAAACCTGGTCCTATCGAGCATGGCACTCCTCTTAACCCATATATTCCCAAGCCTTCTCCTCCTAGTCCTGGTCATCCAAAACCCTTGGGTTAGCTTGGCGAACATACTCATTTCTCAAAAATGATGTAGCCCTTAATCTCTATCTGGTGTCTTGTGTACGTGCCTTGCCTGTTTTAATGTCTGCGTATAGCTAAGTACTTATGTATCCTGCTTTGCTTGGTTTGAATTTTCTTGTAATTTGATGATGTTCTTGGGATTTACTATCCTTCAACAATAACTCTAATGTTTATGCAGTGAATAAATGTAGCAAGATCGCTTTCTTCCCTGAGTGGAGTAATGATTGACAGATCTTGCTGCATGCTTATTCGTTATATTACTTGCTTACACTTCGTTATCCATATCTGTGGCCTGAAAGAGATGCTCAAGTTCGTCTCCTAATCTATGGTTGGTCACTTTAACCTACCACGAACCTTGTTAGATTTGTTAAAAGCTTCTTCTTGTGCTCTTGTATCCTTTTTCTTATAATTTTAAAATCTAATGCTGGAAAGCTTGAGTTACAAGTCGGAAGAGTTGGCTTCAATACCGGATTAATGGCCGGCTTTTGAACAAGTTATCGGGTCAACATGAATTTTTAACTAGATCAGTGAATTTTTTGTTTTGTTTTTTTTCAGCTTGGAATAGTCTAGATCCTAAGGTGACCCGTTAAATGGATCTGGCTTGATTAGTATCCATTACAACTCGAAATAAAATCTAAATCTGATCAAATTCATAGAAACCAAAATCAGAGAATCAATCACGTTTAATAGCTGTAGTGTATACGCTTTATTTACCTACGAGAATTGTTCATGAAGAAAAAGAAAAAGAAAAAAGAAAATATCTTTATTAACTTGAGTGCTAACGAAGGAACAGACGTTTTTCATAGAGGTCCTTGTATACATTAATTTCGCAAGCATGCAAAATGCTCGTAGCGTCCAAGTCCTGATTCTGATTCATAGACCTCAAACTCGTCCATTTCAGTTCGAGAAAGGTTTAAGCAATTAATTAACCTTAATTAATATAAGCTTTTCCTACTGACCATTCCTACCTGACCGAAGGATCTGAGGATTTCAAGCACCAGCGTTGCATCTTCACCTTGCTATAAGCATTATTTATGAGACCTTCAATCAATGGCAACTCCATTTCTAACTTTACATCTACTTTTGTTTTTGCAATTCTTGACGACCGATACTGAGAATTATACCTACTAAGCAACTAGCAGAAAACAAGCCAAAAACATGGAGAGAATACTAATCATGGTGTCCCTCTCGAGAGTTCTAATAAGAATTGAGTGGTAACCATGAACAAGCTTGATCTAGAGGGTGACCAAACCAAACCTAAAAGCAGAAGAAAAATCAAAGAAAGTAGAATTATCCACGCACCAACCCTCATTGACCAGACCCAGGAACAAAAACGATACCTTCTTCTCCAAGCTAAATCTTATTTACCATCCAATTTTTCCCATTAATCAACGTCTCACCTAGCTAGTGCACCAATATTCTCCTAGCTGATTCTCTCTCACAATCTCTCAATGAGAAGATAGAGAGTATCATGATAAGACTTGCAAAAGAGATCCCCAACCATCATTTAGTCCCTACGTGCTGTCTCACTCTTTTTTCTTCTTTTCTTCTCTGGGCTTGCTAGTGGAAAGATGAGCATCGTACTCATTAAAGCAATTGGATCAAGGAAAAAAGCCATTTATCCTAACTCTCAAAGTGGGGTATCGTTCATTAGTTTAGAAACGTTACTTAATGTAAAGCTTAGTTACTTTAAAACCAATTATAATATAAATTGTTGCTTAAGTCACGACACTTTCTAACTCCTAACGATCATGATTTGTTAATAAAGATTTGATTTTAAACTAATTGCCATCTTTTTTTAAGTTACTAACGAATTAGCTTGCCTGTAAATCAGTGCAGGTGTCAGCTTGGAACCACATGATGACCTTGTCAGCTTTTTAGTTCGCTAAATCATTTCATGTTAATGGATTTTAATTATTTTCTTAATTTTTTTTTAAAATAGTTTTGTAATTTCTATCTCTAGCTAGGAAGCTATCACCGTCCAAACCACCAATTACCATCAATGGAACTAGATCAAAAAAGTAATAACCTAGTGCATATTTCCTAGGTTTCAATGCCCGTGTAAAGCTCTGTTTAGCGGTGTGCTGCATGTTTCTTAGTTTTCAATGCCTGTGTAAGGCTCTGTTTTAGCATTGTATTGCAGTATGTTACAGAATATATAATATAAATTATACCTGAAAGTTAATCTAATAACTTAAATTATTAGGTTAAGATAATTTTTTAATATATTATTAAAATTTTAATAATTAATCAGTTATAAATTTGAATTTCATCATCTTTATTTATTTAATAAAAAATATTGATGATCATACAAGTTTTAAATCTAAAAAACTTTCACTTGAAAATATATGTTAGATAATATATAATATAAATTATATCTTAAAACATTACAGAATAATTTAAATTATTATATTCAAATAATTATTTGATATAGTACAAGACATAAGTATGACGGGATTGTGTTTCACTTCAAAATTGTTTTCTTAAAACTCTAATTTTTTTAAAAATATAATTTTTTTTTTTTTAAATCCGGCCTTTTCAAACAGCAAATGCAAAAACTACCCTAATACTGAAATTACATTAAAATAGAAAAAGACTCATGGGGCACATGAGATCAATAGCCCATATAAAAGGAAGGGAATTGTTCATATAGAGAGGCAATTAAGAACAGAAACAGACAGCATGGGACAGGGCATCCTAGAAAGAGCCATGCTTTTTAATCCGCACATGTAGTGTTTTTCTCCTAGATCTTTACGTGCAGTGATTATATCGTAGTGCTTGGGACATCTTTTTATTGCAATAAAACAGTACTAACTACTCACGTCAGGTGCTTGTTAGAGAAAGAACAAGTTGAGGGTGATTCGGTTAGGTTTATCACCATTTTTGCAAGGCAATTAATTAAGCATTTCTGATGAATGTTTGTAGAGAATTAAGATTGCTTGACATGAGTAGTGTTAATAAAGCAATCATTTCCATCTTCATCATCTTAATTGCCTCATAAAACAATGGAGTATCGTTCTCTGTGGTCATAATTCCTTGCCATCTAATCAATAAGATGTTTAATAATTAAAGTTTGCCAATCAAATGAAAATTTTAAACGAAAACCCTAGTTGGGCAAAAGCTTGTTTGCGTCATTGCTGCCGGCAGGTTTAAGTCACAAGTCATTGATATGTATTGCCGGGTCAGTCTGCAAATAACATAGTTTTGGAAAATGTTTTTTCATAAACATCCCAGTAATTAAGTCTCTCATTTAGGCTTGAGTTTGATCGAGTGAATATTTAAAATAAAGCCTGTTTGATTCAAGTTTTAAATATGCAAGTTATAAATCGATTTATGGTCAAATTTAATAATTATGGCTTGTAGAACTTATGATATATATATATATATATATATATATATATATATATATGAGAGGATTGCTTATAAAGAAAAAGAAAAGGAAAAGAGAGAACATCTTTATTAATTTGAGTGCTAACGAAGGAACAGACTTTTTTCCGAGTGGTCCTCTTATACATTAATTTCACAAGCATGCAAAGTGCTCGCAGCGTCCATGTTGTGATTCTGATTCACAGACCTCGAACTTGTCCATGGCAATTTGTATAGTTTTTCCATTGCTGTCTTGTTTGCCTAGCTGTAGCAAAAGGAACCAACGGCCACTGGATCCTGCTTGTTACATAAATGCACACTAAAAATAACTTCCTTTTAAATTTTTAGTGGCACCAAATAATTATCTTAACTATATCAAGCCTCAATTTCCCTTTTATTTCTTCTTCTTCTTTTTGAAGATATATTAACCTTGGTTATTGAATACAGATTCTGTCACCTGGGGTTGGTTTATATTTTTTTTAAAAAAAAAATTAATTAGATGTGACTTGGTAAAATGCCTGAATTAACTTACAACTCGATTAAAAAATTAAAAAAAAATCATAATGATATCATTTTAATTCATTAAAAAAATAATTTATATGGCCTGTGATCTAATGTATTATTTTAGATCGATCTCTAAATTAAGTTTAAATAATATGGTAGTGAGATGCAAGTTTTTATTGAATTAAATTTATATATGGAGAGATGTTACATTAATAACTTATTAAAATTACATTAAAATTTAAAAAAATAACTGATTTTGATGGGCAAAAATGCTTTTCAAGGCCTTAACCACTCTTCAAAGAGTTGGTATGATAGTTGGAGATCATAAATGTTTAGTAATGTGTAGCTAGGGTGGGTACAAGAACTATAATTTAAATTCATTCAAGTTTAGGGTTGGGATGGAAATAGGAGATCGGCACGCTTTTATTTTTGCCAAAGCTGCCACCTCTCCCCACCTTTTTCTACAAGGCAGCTAGTTAGTGCGGGTTAAGGCTCAAAATAGCCCTCCATACATATACAGGTCCTCCTTTTTTTGAAGAGGCAAGGCAAAGGTGCTTGGCTTCGAGCTCTGGTTTTTAGCTTCCTACAAAGCTTGGAGTGGTGTATGGATAACTAGTTGCTCATGCACCCGAACTTAACAACGAGGGATTATAGAATTTAAAAAGTACCAAGGCATAAACATTTTATGCTGGGAAAGTTAATACTTTCACATTTAGTTTTGTAAGACCAAATCAAATCTAGTGACTTGTCCAACCAAAGTAGCAGAAAAATCCGGGTTTGTTTTTATCAAAAAAACACTGTTCAGGTAGGTAGAAAAAACTTAGATTTATCTAAATTAACTCATCTAATCTCTTTATAATCTAAATATTAAATCAAGTTAACTCAAGTTATTTTATAATATGTATTTGATAATGCAGTATGAAGTATTTTTATAAAAATAATTTTTAATTAAAAATATATCATAGTAGTTGATAATGATGTTTTTTTAAAAACATTATCTATTATGTTAGTATATTAAAATTATAAAAATAATATTTAAAAAATATCAATTTGATATTTTTTTAATTAAAAAAATAAAAAATTAGACTGAATTACATAAATAAAATCACCCTGAAATATGCTTCCACATATATACTCAAGCTAAGTAGATAAGCTAAGTAGATAAAATGCATGCTAAAGACATAATAATAATAATAATAATAATAAAAGAAAGCACTATCCAAAGTATTTCGAAGGTTAAAAATAATTAAGAACTAATGCGGGGTCCGGGGTGGAAAGAAGTTGGATTGATTTTGATACCACACGGGTTAATAAAGCAAACACTAATGACTTGGATTAACTTAATATAGAGCTTGAGTTATAATAACTCAAAGCAGGATGATA